CAGTGAATTTTTAGACTGGCTCCCAGCATCTTTGAAACAATATCACTGAGAGTGCAAACATTTAATTATTGATATAGTCACACAGTTTACTTCAATATAGGAAGCTGGTGAACATGAGATCAAAACCTTTACAGTAGCATCTGTAACTGTTTTTATTTTAAAGTGCAGAAAATTCCAAGTAACTTCCCTCATGACATAGTTATTAATTTTCATCTGTTCCTTGGAATTGGTTTTCTAGTAAATAACTCAGTTTACCTCCTAAATTCCACATATGAAGTGACATTTGCTACTACTAGTTTTACAGATATTGACCCTGAGGAAGATCAATCTGACCATGTAACACATTGCTAACCTGAAATATATAAATCTCTCTTTTTAAAAAATATATGTACTTCAAAGAAAGAATAAAGTCTAATTTTCTGATGAATTCTGATCCAAGTTATTTGGATTATCTTTTCTATACATTAACAGAATGTTAATTTTTTAACAGAAAAAAATGAAAATAAGACTGGACAACCATTTACTACACAATGCAATTTAGCAGTGACACTAGAGAAAGTCATTTTAACATTTCCAAATGAAAGTCAGATATCAAATTAGATGTCAGCTCCAGAAAATCTTTCACAGTCCATACTGAGGCGGAACACACACTGGAGAATTTGGTTCAGAAAGGTATTCAGAATAGACTCCTAAAGTTTGATCAGCAAGGTTTTGGCTGTGAAACAACTATTAATTTTGTAACATAAGAATTATGTTCCGAAATCTTCATAGAGCTACTCCTCCACGCTGTTTTCCTTCAGATACCTTCTCCCTGTCTTTTGGGCTTTTGTTTTCTTTGCCTTTGTTCATCTCTGTGTCTTCAAGGAAGGGTATAAGAGTTTTCTCTTTTCCTACAGCTGTCTCCAAACAATCTCCTCCTGTCTTGATGGCTTTGAATCGTTCAAAGCTTTGCTGAAAACTTAACATTGCACCACTCTGAACTTGTTTCCCAGATTATAACTATATTAAATGTGAAATTTTCTTGTATTTCAATAATTTTCAAATATGATCGCTAATAAATTTTCAGATAAAAACTAGCATGTTTTATTGCTACGTTGTTTTTGACGTATGAAAAAATCAGTTAGCTAATGAAACACAAAATAACTTCTATTCGAACATACATGCCACTTGAACTTCCGATCTTCTTTGCAGCAATGCCCCCATCCTGTTTCGTACAACACACTGATAAAAACCAGCATCAGACCTCTGCAAAGCTGGGATGATGTACCTGTAAGACAAATACAGAATTATACTATGTCTACAAGCAGATCAATGCTGCTTGATATAGCATTTCTTACTTCTCCTCTACTAATTTACATGTTGTCTCAAATGCATATTGTATTTTTTCTTACGAGCAGCATGTCATCACTGACCTCAAGCTACAATATTTGCTGTACTATATTTTAGAAAAAAATATTTGAATTGCATAAAAAACCCTTTCAGCTTAAAATCCACATTTCATAAATACTGATTAGTCTCCACAATTTGCCTTGACATATGCACTTAAACGTTCTCCTTAATTTATCTACCTCATTCATAAAGTAAAGATACCTTATATTTTGCCCAGAGGTGGCACAACAAAACTACAATCTAAATGTAGTCAACAGGAAAACTTACAAGAAACATCAAAACTCTCCAATGAAAAAAAGATGTTTAGTAAGCTGTGTGACCAACTCAACTCAGAAGAGCACTGGAAAAGACATAGCACACTGTACATTGCATTTGTTTTGCCCCTGAGTATACTTAAAAGGTCATTTAGTCCACTAAGGTTTGCCTTCCTCATTCAACTATATCTGATAGCCCAGCTTGAAAATGAGCTGATAGGTACAGTTTTAACGTGAACAAAACATAGAAATAATATAGATAATCCTGCATTAAACAGACATTAATCGAAGTGCATATTTCCCCAAACACCTTCAGAGACCTTCTGGTAGGATTAATGAAAGTCTTTATGAAAAGATATGGAAAATAGTATTGCTGAATTTTAATTTTCAAAATTTTATTCTACTACAGAAGGCTTCTCATCTCATACTTACACATACTATACACACCCACATACACAGCTAATGTGTGAACAGAATCAGATGGTATCAAAATGAAACTAGATTTCTTCCACCTCCTTAAGTGATAAATGAAGCCTATAATCACTGCATTGTAACTATGACCAAATACACAATAGAAAATAGGTCACACAACCTGAGACCAATGAATTAGAACACCAGTACCACCAAAAAATTCCCAGAAAGCCCTGACTTCCAAAGTAGGCAATTGTGTCACCTGTTTGTCTCTGTGCATCCTAGCCTACTCCTCTGCAGCCTGCTTTGGAGCAACTGGCAAATTTTTCTTCCAGGAATTATGACAATTTCTAGCAAATTAGACAGGGAAGACTCAAAACAGTAACGTCCTCACAAAACTAAGGGAAAGACAAGGAGGACACATCAGGTAGGACTGTTCTATCCGGAAGTAGTAAATGAGATGATTAGCACACAGATACTTGCTGGCCAACTCCGACTTGGCCGTGCTGCCTCCTGCCTGATGAGTATGCCTTAGGTGAAACAGTGAGAAGCTAGATGACTATACAGGGCACAGGACACACATCAAGAGAGAACTAGGCTTCCTTAGTTCCTTACAGGATTCTTTCTTTACTAATTATATGACTGCTGCAAAACTTCACTAGTCAAAAAACCTGACAAAAGATATTGACAATTCATTTTTATAGCTAATTTTACTAGAGAGTTTATAGCTTTATAAGCTTTTCTCCTTCCCCTAACAACTCAGTATTGTACTTGGCTAACATTTATTTTTCAACTTGCCTATTAAATGGAACCAAAATTAAAGGCTCTTTGCTTCGGTATTCTTCTGTACTAAGACAGTAACAAACAGTTAGTTATTCTGCCGTTAAAGAGAAAACAAACCTACTACATCAGAAGTGTGCTACTTCGGTTTTCTTCTCTGACCTACTCCTATTTCAGCAGGGAAAGATTCTTAACGTGTTGCCTACAGAAAAGACAATCTTTTAAAAATTTACACTGCACATGTCATCTACGTTGGAAATTCCAGCACAGCCCATTCCTACCAAACGGCTGGCATCTCAGCGCATCTACTCGGCAACAGTCTGCAGGTAAGGCAAGCAAATGGGCACCGTGCGGAAGACGAACGTGGAAAATGCATGATTGATTTTTTTCTGGGTAATACTGCAGCAGGATACACACAGATTGTGAGTCAAAGAACAAAGGCAGGAGTCTGAAAAGTATTTTGGAAGGGTGATCTAAGAGGTAAGATGCAACAGGGAAGGCAGGAAAATCTGAGGGAAAAGTTAAAAGGAAATGAAAATGGTTTGGCTGGTGCATTGCCTGCAAACGGGACAGGAGAAGGAAGAATGCTAAACAAACTGAAATACAAATACGATGGCAACCTTATCACATAGGACCTTAAGAGAAAAGATATGACTATAAGCTGATGCAAAGCTCCTCACAGACCTAGGAAAGTGACCACTGATCACAAGAAACTGAAGTTTTTGCCAACTTCGGTTACTCAGAGCTTGTTTTAAAAGAAGTTAATTGACTAGACTTTTCAGAACAATGTTCTGTGAAAGCTTTTGAAGAGCATACACTTGTTCCTGCATAGAAATATCTTCACTTTTTCTGACAAAAACATCAAAGAAAAAACTACATTGGAAGAAGAAATGGATTCAAATGTTCTAGTTGCAAATTTCAAAATGTAATCATAAAAGGAAGCCTAATATCTGGAAAGGTCTAACATAGGCTTACTACTTTTTAGGTTTAAGCTTACAGTAAAGATGTTAATGGAGTCTCAGGCTTTACATAGAAATCCTAATTTTGACATTTAAGGAACAAATCCTATATAGAATCTAAAATTCTACTAAAATTAGGAGAATTAAATAATGAAAGTAACAAAAGAGGATAGAGAATATATTTATATTATTTGAGACTAACTGGATAATACGAAAAAATGGATAAGAGATAAATAGATATTGATTTAATTTCTAATTCTGTGTTTACAATTGTAAGCAGTCTGCATCTCAGATGTCTAATTTTTTCCTTTTTTTTAAACATACTTTTCTATTCAACCCACACTAAAATACTGCTTCCTGTGCTAAGCTTTCATAATTCAACGTGTTTTCTGATAGGCAAAAAAGAGAGAAAAATAATTCTTTCTAAATTCAAAATAATTTCTTCCATGGATTAAATGTATATCAAATGTAACATAGTTTTTCTGGCATGTGTGTGTGTGGTTTTTTTTTTCCCCAGTGACAAGACATCTATTTGCTTTAATTTTATCTGTGCTGTAACTTCCAAGATAGAAGAACTTTCCACTGTCAAGATGCCAGAAGGCCACTAAAGGCTTCTGGGGACTTGTGCAAGTAATTTAGAAAGTCAGTTGATTTGCTTTGAGTGGTACAACCAACTAGAAACTAGCTGTTTAAAAAGTTTCCACAGAAAGATGCAAAGCGACACGTGTGAAAGAAAGCTTCAAGGGAAGTCCTCCAAAACATAAGTAGTGCTCCATCAGAGGTATAGCGATGAGCCAGAGTTTAAGGACGAAATGTTATTGAGCACCTAAGGAAAAATGCCAGCAGAAGCTTTCTTACAACTTTCCAATGTTTTATTCCTAATTTTAAATGCTGTCAGAGTTGAAAATCAACCTATAGGATACAGGTTTTCAAAAGCCCTGATTGTGAAGACAGTAATGAATTAAAATTAAACATGTTTTCTTAGCTAGTAATATAGGTTAGTATCTATTCAAATATTTTAACAAGGGAATTATGCATCTGCCGATCTAACTTTTTATACAGGATAAAATTACAATGTGCCTAATTTTAAAAACATATATTTAATAAACACACTTCTTTTTTTTTTTTTTTTTTTTAAGTTGTTTGGGAGAAAATTGTGCTACTGCTTAAACATAACTTTGGTTTGTTAAATTCAAATAAATTAATATCCTCAAGGCCACAAAGTCAACTATGGAAGCCCCAACTAATCTAGAACTTGCTTTCAAAAAAACAGCCCCCCCCCAAAGCCCCCAAATGAAGAAAAAGTCACTGTCTTAACTTCAAACACTCTTAATTTATACTAAATAGCCAAAACAACTACTTCAATCAGCAATATTAATTTGTTTTTCAATACAATACATGTATCCCAGACCACAGCGAATTTAAGGTTCTTTCATAAATATTTAATACAAACTAGTGTATGCACAGTCACTATAAAAGCTAGGCTGTGCATACCTAATCATCATCTTTATACAAAGAAGAGCCATTCGTTCAGGGTCACCAGTGTCAAGCAATGGTATGCAAAGACTCCAATTTGTTCTTTATTTGTTTGGTGTTTTATAATAAGCTTTGAATATTTTCATCCTGTTACAATATAGGCATTACTTTAACTAAGAACAATAACTAATATCAATTACTGGAAATCTTTGATTGATAAATCAACCTGCAGCTGAAGTCACTTACATAAGAAAGATTCATGCATTTAAACAAAACACCTACCTACCTAAAAGAACTGCAGAACAAACTATCACGGGGTCCAAGTTTAAAGTTTGCAACTGGAATTTTTAAGTCTAAGCACATCCTTTCTTGCTTTCATTCATCCTATGTCATTTACTCCTTTTTGGAAGACTACATGCCTGCTAAAGCAGCAAAGCTTAAAGCTTTCTCTTCCTACAGAATCAAAATCCTGTTTGGCTTATCTTAGACCGTGGCAAGGAATTACAAATTAATAATAGGGCTGCAATATTTAAATTAACATTTTCTATCAGTGTTAGTGTAATTATTATAAGCTAATATTTTCCTATCTTCTTAAGCACCTCTGTAGCAAATGTTTAATTAGAAATGGAAACAAGAGCAATATAAAAAATGCAAAATGAATAAATACGCCTTGCATCATGACCTGAAATTCACTAGAGTAAATTAACTATACCGATAAGAAACAAGGTACTGTGTGTACAGATATGCATGCATACGTACATACAGCTTGGGAAAGATGTTCCAATACACTGATTCTACCTCATATTGCAATACACAGTAAAATTATAACTTTAGGTCCTGGTGAGTTTATTAAGGATGTGCACATATCTAATAAATGCCTCAGCATTCTGATCTTAAGTTTCAAAATGTCATACATTCTCAGGTTTCTTCCAGTATCATAAAACGTTAAGTCCCTTAGCCTGCCATCTACACATCTACAAAGCTCGAGTTTGCTTTTTGTTATCATTTCATGTTCTTGCCCTCCCATAAGGTTGCTTTCTCTTACTTTCTCAGCATTTTACATGGATAAGAGCTGTTGTCAGCTCCTTCTACCAAGAAATTCCAATAGACTTTGTTCTTGTTGATCAAAACAGTGGTATGAACTGCAAGTGATGCTCAAACTTTCTGTGAAGAATTGTGCTATTAGAGACTTCTTTTATTTCTAGAAAGACTCACAAATCTCTTCTATAAACTGAACGTTATGATATGTGTATGGCTCAAGATATCGGCATATTTCCAGGCTTGAACATAACAGTTAAAGTAAAGACACACCCCTTAGAGTTTCTGAATTCACTAGCAAATTTGAACAAAATTTGAGAAGTGCAGAAGTTGCATAGATATTAGATTTCTATATCCCAATTAAGGCTCCCAACAAGGAAAATGCAGACAAAACTCAGCCTTTTTACACTTGCGTGCTTGGCCAGCCATCTACTGCCTATCAGCAAAAATGTAGCTCTGATTAGCACAGCATGTTTTTTCTCTTGCCTGATGGGTTGCCTTGAAGAACATGGAGGGAACAAATGAGGTCCAGGGAACAAACTACACAGATCCATAAAAGGTTGTTAAACTACAGGATTAATTTTCATGTTCTCAGAAGTAAAACCAGAAATTTTTTATTTTATATATATAAATACATATCTAAGTGTGTATAAACATATATATAATACAAACTAGACCCCATTCTTGTATTTCTATACCTCCCTATTGAAAAGGATGCTTCCATTGAGCTTAGTTCTCTTTAAGGACGAGCAACAAATCAGATATAACGTTTATCTAATGTTTGCTCTGCTTTCAAGACACTATAGGTGGTAAAGAAGCAAAATACCTAGAATAGCAGACAAATATAAATTAAAGTGACAGTGCACCCTTTTTCTTTTGATTCTGAACAGGAAAACCTTAATCGTTTCGACACAAAAAACATCAAGGAATATGCCCACTCTTTAAAATAAATTTACATGAGTTTACATCTCCCACAAGAAAGGATTGTTGCTACTTTGAAGTTTTTATGTTAGGACCTCTGTTTTGGAACATTAAATACCGTTTTTAGCAATGGAGATTCTCCTAGATCTTCTCCATTTACTACAAACCATCTTCCTTCATAATAAAAAACACTGTCAGTGTATCAGTGTCTACAAAATTGTTTAAGGTACTGTCATTCTTTTTTCAATTACGCTTAAAGAAGACTGTTATATGGCTTTTATTTACTTATATTCACTGGAGTAGTTGGTTATTTCACTGTCATTGCGTAACCACTTAAATTCCAAGGGCCAGCTGCCTTCAGCAAGGCACGTCAGCACAAGACGATTTCCTTCCAAGTGTATCTGGGGCAAGCCTGGCTCAGTCTTGAAGTACGGTGCAACATCATCTGAAATACAGCAAACAGTTTTAAGTTATTTAAATGAGTACTAGTAAATCTCATGCCAGCAATATTTAGCACATTTCTTCTCAAAATGGTCAATGCAAAACAAGGACAGCACGTCTCAGTACTTAAGGTTAATGTTGCTACATTTAGAACTAAGTTTTATCTTGAGAAACATTAAAAGAAACATTAGAATTAAAAAAAAAAAGTCTTGATAACCTCTGGTCCCAATGCTTATTTAGAAAAGAAAAGCAGTGCCCACTCCGACATCCTTTGGTCTATATTTGCTGCTTATACATATCAGATACTTCAGTATTGTCTACTGTGGCTGGCAGTAACCAGCCCTATTAGGTTTTTTTTTTTTTTCACTTTCACAAGAGTTAAATTCACTCACAAAACTTTTCTTTAAAAAATAAAAAAAAAGCAGAAGAGTAATCTTGGATAGAAATGATTATCACAGCAGGAGAAGTCTCAGGATAAGTGAAAAATTTTGATGGAAAAAACAGTTTAGAACAAAACACCTTACAAAAGCACAAGATTGATTTTTTTTTCAATATTATTGCAAACCAAAGTGTGTTAAATTGTATCACCTGAAATCAACTACAGCTTTTGAATTAGGATATTTTAATAACATGCGAGGGTCACGTACATTTTCAAACTCTTATTCTCCTGTGGACCACAAATGCTTAAAATACTCCAAGCAGCAAAATTATAAGCAGAGGTTGTCAATATAACCATAAAAGATGTGCCTTTTTCATCAGGAAAAGCGCTAACCCACAGAATTATGAATCATTGTATGCCCAGTCATACTCTCATTGACATCAACAGGAATAGGATTCGGCCACTAGTAAATAAATGGCCCACTCAAATTACTTATAATCCAGCCACCAAAATTCTATTAATTAGAAAGA